CTGTACTGAACATCACCCATCCTTGGCTGTTAAATAGTTACTGTGACCCACCTCTGGTGCTTCCCCCATTATAGGTGCCATATCAGGGGTGAAGCTCTCTGGCCCATTTAGAAATTGTCTGATCTCTGCATCCTTGATGGCTGGCGTTCGATGTATGGCCTGCTCCATGATGGGCACTGAGTGGAACAAGATTTGGTCGTCATGAGTGACTCTAAATGCCAGGTCTTGGGATCTTGGAAACAAGACATTCTAGAATCTACCTGAACTTTAATCTGTGCGAATTGAGATTCACCTATTGTGTTACAACTCATTAGCAAGGGATAAAAGTATCTGACTTACTGAAGTGGTCCCAGTCTTCCTCTAACAGTTGGAACTCAAACTTTGGTGGGATACCCTCTGTGAAGATCGGTCTGGGGTTCATTTCAAAGCCTCCTACCATGACACCTCCACTCCACTCACGTGTGTAGTGCATGCCATCAGGGTCCCTGATGACTGGAGGGAGTACAGAATACTTGTAGCAAATGTGTGCATACTACATTGTACCATCTAAAGCCACTGGTGCAAAAAGATTTATAAAGAGGGATTTATAAAGAGAAAAGTAAAATTCTGGGATCAGTACCTGGCTGGTTCTTGGTCACACCAGGGAAGGGTTTAGTCACGACATAGAAGTGTTCACAGGAATGCAGCGGTACTCGAACAGTTGGACTGGACAGTTGACCCAGCTGCCACGCCCACTGCAATGGATATTAAGAAGAACAATTGCCAGTTCTGAAGACTAAAGTTTTAATTACATGTACATCTACAGATCCTACGTACTCTGGTACACTATATTTGGCTCAGTGTCTCATTTACCTAGCAAATACAATGTAAATGAATAAAGGCTACTGCTTGCTCTACAAACTGACCCTGTACAAGCATGTACAAATGCCAGCTGCAGCCAGATCCAAAATGCTGGTCTCATAATGTTCAGCCAGGAAAACTGTAAGATCTCATTATGATCACAACTCACCTGTCCCGCACAGTTTACAAAGTATTCACATCTGATGTCACCCTGGTTGGTTCGGACCCCCGCCACCCTGCCGGCGTCTGTCAGGACAGTTTCCACGGCAACCTGCTGGTGAATCTGCACCCCTGGATTGTAAGGAATCATGGGATAAATACATGTACATGGTGTTCTCATGTCCCCAAATAGATGGGTTGTCACTGAAGGAATCATTAAATCTTGAAAGTTCATCTGTGTTGGTAGACTTCATCATGCAGAAAGTGGATTGATTGCTCATTTCCTGACAAAGACTGGAAATGTACAGTTGAAAATTTAACTTAATTGTTGGAAATTACAGTTTACATTTCCCGCATAATCATTCTTGCATCTTTTATCCTTGCATAATAAAAGTGGCCCATTGTAACTCACTGGAAGAAACTTGGTCCAAATGGTCAGAAGAGGTGTTTATACCGTCACAGTAGTGATTTACATCTAGCAATATTTGGATTCTTTGAGACTTTCGATCCCCTTCAACCCCAGCAGCCAGAAGGTGAACTGCCAACATTAGAAGCCCACCTTGTAACGTTGCTCCCTTTGCCAGAGATTGCATCACATCGGAAGGTGTTGCCGTCCCGTCCCCGGGGATCCACAGGGCACCCTTCAGGTCATCCACCCTCAGCAGGGGAACCTGAGCAGCTACGTCTTTAGCGCTGATCATCTCACACTGGACACCTGCTGCTCTGGAGTTAGGAAAAGTCTAAGTTTGTCATCTCCACTTTATGATAGCCTCTGGCTAGATGGGAAGTCCTGGCTGTATAACTCACTATACAATCTAATAAATCAAATCACATTACAACCGCACTTTAGGGACTTGTAGTGTCTAACATGTCCAAAAGTGTCTAACAACAAATCCAAAGTGTCCAACCATCATCTCCCAGTTATTGCTATCCACATTGTAATGTAATCAGATTCTATGGTTATTTTCAATGTCAGATCCATGTCTCTTATGGCTGTCATGACAGTCCAGCTGTCGACATTAGGTTTTATTACCTCGCAGCAGCAGCCGTTCTCCTGAGGTAAATCATGCGGTCTGTTGTCCTGGCCAGGGACATGGAGCCACACTGCCGCCAGCCTACAAGGATGCAGATACACATGTACAGCAGTCATGCAGATTTGCTGTGATATTAGCTATTCACATTTCCTAGGTTTAAATGTATTGTAGATCAATGCTACTGCCCTATATTGGGTCTGACAGAATATTCTGATAATTTGGCAGGGTTTAGTGAATTAGGTGTCATTGAGGAGTGTGTGTATAAAAGTTATCCACTGACCAGTGCCTAGGCCTGTCTCCTGTTCCAGAGTGGCATAAAGCTGTGTGCTGTACTGACATATGTTGGTGTGGAGGGTATTTGCACGCATCTGACCCACCAACCCTGCTGAATGCCATGTCGTGCCACATCCCAAGCTGTAAGAAAAAAATTGTAGTCACAAATCATACAATAGAATGCTGTTGCTTACATTTTAAGGATTTTGGTCTCTCTGATGAGATCTGTAATTTATTAGCCAGTAGATATGACTATAAGGACATTTTAAATGCTTGAAGAACTCTGTTACCTCCCCTGTTCTAACAGCACCACGTCAGTCCAGCCAGACTTGGCCAGATGATACGCCACCGAGCAGCCAATGACCCCTCCACCAGCGATCACGACCCGTGCCTCAGACGGCAGCTGTACACTTGCTGAGCTGAGTTCACGGCAGCTAGCTGTTGTCCTCACATATTTCACTGTAGTAGAGATTTCTTTTGTCACAGACAGTCTACATCAATTACATCCATTTATGCAAACTTAATATCAGTTAGAACATCTGACATACAATGTTGCACCATGTACATTGCCATGCAATAAAGATCTTCATTTCATATGTACATTAATTGGGCTAAATTTTCATTTGCTAACGATAGTGTTCATGTGTTCATATAAGATAGGCACAAAAAACAGTCAACTTTTGTCAACTTTTGTTATTGATGCAGTTGAATTTGACTGAATTTGTTTATTGCACACAACTACATACATGAACCACACACCTATTGCTTGATTTTCAGCCACACCAGGGCATTATGCTTCGCCCCTGGGGCGTTACCAAAAATATTTCCACTTTGTATACAATACCCGTTAGCGCACAATGCGTGACCTGTATTTCTGATCTTTCCCAGAAGTGCTGTCATGTATTTTAATGCCAGCATTTCTCTTGTTGCCCATCGTTTCACAAATAATTTTTGTGCTTTTGAGGATCGAGGATCAGACCTGGATCAGACACAGCATGCACACACTGACACTTTAATATGGTCACGCCCACCTCTGGCCAGGTCTCGTCCCCCTATCGACCGCCTACTGGTCGGTTTACCAACACGGGTTCTCAAATTACGCGGTTTTACAACGCACAACAACAACCTGTTACGTTTACACAGGGTCAATAGCACTGTTCGTCCCCAGGGACCAAGTATAAACCTCATCATTAGTCTGACTACTTCAGTAACGTTACTTGTTTACTTCACGTTAATTATAATTCGCCTCGTCAGAAGGAAACTGAAGGAAATACTAGTAAGTTGTCCCGGCAGCCTAAAATATGCCAAGTTCTTGTCTCACCGTCATGTTTTGTCCACAGCACCCTACTTCTGGACAACAGCAGGCATCCTGGACGGATCCGATGCAAAACCATCCTGTTTGAGATGAATACATTGCCCTGGACTTTGGCACTTCTGACGGCCTGACCTCTGTTACCAATATGTAAAGACGTTTACCCTCCGGTAACGTTATACTAGTACTAAACAGGACCGGTTTAAAGGGACGGACCATTTTTCTTGTCGAGAGGGTCGGTGGATCATGGGATGTTACGGTAAATGTTAGCATGGCAATTGTTCTCTGATATCATCTTTGCTTCGGGATATTCATGCGTTCTTCGGGGCCTCATCTCAGCAATTACTTTATGATATATAACGTTAGTAACGTTAGTTAATGGTCCAAATGAGCAACTTGACGGTATCACAGCGACGCCTACCTTACGTTGTAATTATTGCAGTTCTTGCGCGTCGGAAGCGTAACAGAAAAGCCAGAAAGTTGTTTTTCCACAGATTTCTGACTGAAAACAACCCATAAGTGTCATTTCTTACATTTCTCTTTCTGTTTTCTGAGACCGATAAACAGGGAAATTTCGACACTATCCTTGTATATCAGAATGCTCGTACGTTCTCGCGGGAAAGGACGAGATAACCTTCAATCCTGACCTTTGACATCTTCAAAATGAAAGTTGGTGTTCTGGATTATCGAGTTACGGTGTTTTCATGGTCAACCTTCATGCCAAAGTATGTTTGAACCCTTCAAAATAGTACGATCTTGATGGTGTATACTCGCACAGTCGCCAGATACCAATGCTGTCACATCGCGCTGTTTGGGCGAACTGTGTCCGGGGAAGGACCAGAGGAGGACGGTGGCCTCGCAGTTCCCAAACAAAGTCACCTCAGCTCTGTCACAAAAACACAAACCCTGACGTGAGATGGGTGAGTTCCGGCGTGGACAGGCGCCAGCTCCACGCGACACAGGAGGAAGTGCCGGCGCAGAAGCCGCTGCCACCCCAGGCACAAGTGGTGATCGCAGGGGGAGGGGCGATCGGCTGTTCTGTGGCTTATCACCTGGCTAAGTTCGGCTGGACAGATGTGGTACTATTGGAGCAGGGAAGGTATGGCAAATATGTGCAAAGTATGATTGTAGTGTTTCTTTGCCAAGGTGTGTAAATTATAGCTTATTGGTTTGAACATAATAAACATGCTATCACCTATTCGTTATCATACTGTAAAGTACCTTTGATTTATATGGAAAGCCTTATTGCAATGTCAGCTGAATTATGAATGGATTGTTAACCTAAACAGATAGCAATCAATATTTAAGTAGTATATTTCACCAGTAAGTTTACTAATGTTAACTATACATATTGCTTTTCCAGTATAAGTATATTGTTATGAATTCAAATGCAACTTTGGTAAAATTAAGGCAGTTCAATCGTATCATAGGCCCAGCAAGCTGCATCAGTAAAACACTTTCAAGGGATGTAACATCCATGTCTGTCCACTGTTTTTCCTCCCCAGACTAAGCTGTGGTACAACATGGCATGCTGCCGGCTGCTGTGCCATGCTGGTAGAGGGGATCCTGCGAGAGATGTTTGAGTACAGCAAACAGCTGTATCCAACGTTAGAGGCTGAGACTGGTGTTAACACAGGTTAAAAACATCTCATGAACACTATGAATATCATTATAGATATTACTAGACTTATAAGTTCTCATGCAAATCTTGCTCTTTTTGTTACGATTGCTTTGATTTAATAGCCCTTAAAGTTCAAGTTTTGTAGGAATTGATGTATAGGAGGCTGTCATCATTCTTTTAAAAGATAGAACTTTTCTATTGCAGCTTGTATTAACATTAGAAGAATACTACTGGTAGTGAATAATAATTCTAGCAGCTTATCATGCCATTGTTTGTAGATAACTCAGGTGCAGGGTCTTTCAAAACATAGTTGTACTACTACATATGGGGAAATGCCTAAAGTGGCACTGCTATAATGAAAAAAATGTTTTTTTTTCACAAGGCTGGCAACAGACTGGCTCTATATATGTAGCTCGTACAGAGGACAGAATGACAGCATACAGAAGACATGCAGATGCAATAAGGTAGGTACACTTAATAGTCACCAATTCCAATGTGTCGATGATCAAGAAATATGTCTTAGAAGTACAGTCATTAATCATGTATCATCATAAATTCTTTCAAGACAATCTTGGTACAGAACTGTAAGAATATGGTTGGAAAATGTAACATGTAACTTGTGTTCCAGGGCGATGGGAGTGGAGTGTGATCTGGTCAGTCCCAGAGATGTGAGTGTTTATCACCCCTTACTGAGGGTGGATGACCTGAAGGGTGCATTGTGGGTACCAGGAGACGGGGTGGCTACAGCAGCTGATGTCACACAAGCTCTGGCTAAGGGGGCGACAATGAAAGGTTAGTGGGAGACATGGTCAAACCAAAGTCCAGGCAGGTAACAGCTCCATCATGAAACTGTTACAAAAAAGTACTTGCCTGGACTTTGGTTTCTACAAGGAACAAGGTCAAACCATTCAGTCTTCATGTTGAAATCCTCATGAGACCATGCATAGAGGGCAGAAGAAAGTAAGAGATATTAGTCTGACTCCTTACCCAATTAATATCTAAAATAATTTGGTTAAATACTATGATTTATGAGTGTCCTTCATTGATATACACTGTATTGCAGGAAAGAAAAACATATAAGATATGGCTGTTCTATAATCATTTAGATACATCCCAGATAAGTAAGATACATTCCTCTTTCAAGTGAGCTCTTGACAGAATAAATCATGTTCTTTTGGCAATGCCTTTTTAACACAGTTTACATGGTTAAACAGGTGGACTTTTACCCAGCCTATCTTAGTTATTCCTTATGTCTAAACTGCTAAACCACCCTTTCCTCCAGGTGTTCAGATCCATGAGAAAGTTGGTGTGGAGAAAGTTTTGACATCAGATGGTCGAGTGAGCGGTGTCAGAACAAACAAGGGAGACATCAGATGTGACAACTTTGTCAACTGCACTGGGCAGGTAAGGTATTACATTACTTAGACTTAGTTCCTCCCGTGCAAGGCACATTGGGCAGCAAGTCTTCTCCACTCTGCTCTGTCTTCGGCGAGGGACTCGGCATCCTTCAATGTTATCCCCCTGCTTTCCAGATCTTTTTGAAGGGTACGTCGCCATGTTAGTTTAGGCCTCCCTCTTTTCCGTTTGCCCTCTGGTTTCCAAAACACAGATGTTTTGGCGTGTCGGTCTGAGGTCATCCTGAGGACATGTCCAGCATATCTCATCCTCCTCTCGGTGATGGTGATGCTGAGTGGTTTTGTACCAGTTCTGTGGTATACCTCCTCGTTGGTAATCCTGTCTCTGTATGTTATGTGTAAAATTTTGCGGAGGCATCGTTGTTGGAAGGCATCCAGCTTGTTCCGCATTCTTGTTGTTATCTTCCATGTTTCACATGCATAGAGTGCAGTTGGTATTACTACTGACTGTAGCAGCTTGGTTTTCAGCACTCTGGATATCTTCCCACTGTTCCACACTGGGTTCATCCTTCTGAAGACTGATGCTGCCTTACCTATGCGGGCACTGATGTCTGTGTCTGTGTCCCCTTCTGCTGTCATGGTGCTTCCGAGGTATGTGAACTGCCTTACGTTTCCAACAGGCTCTCCACTGATGTGCAGGTTTGTGTTCGTTTGTTGATCTCCCACCTGCATAACTTTGGTCTTCTGGCAGCTGATCCTTAGACCCACTTTTCCCCGCTTCTGTTTCTGCTGATGTTGTCATGTCCTGAAGAGTCAGCTGAGACTCTGCTGTCAAAGCAATGTCATCGGCGAAGTCTAGATCCGTGAGGCGTCTGTCCCCCTCCCAGGGTATTCCAAAGTCACTTCTACCCATTGCCCTGCGCATTACAAAGTCTATGGTGACAGTGAACAGTAGGGGAGATAAGACGCATCCTTGTCGCATCCTTGACTCATTATAGACAAGGTCATATTTATCCAGATTAAAACGATAATGATCTATTCAACATTAATTATTCTAGTTACTTATTAAACCCACAAATGTCAGATGTCGAATCTGAGGAAGCGAACTTGTCATTGGTGCGGACGCAAAAGGAAGCATACCAAATCAGACTACAAACCTGATGGGGCACATTTTGGCGGTATTTTTGAAGCGGTAGTACGTGTACTGTGACCGTTGAGCAGGTAAGCTTAGTTTTCTCGTGACTTTACTTAACAGAACGAATGATTCTACGACAGATGACGTAGACTACTGCGTTCATTATATTCATATCGTAAAACCTGCGAAGCCAAACGTTCGTAAACAACGAGTTGCCCGGTTGTTCGAACACGACGCCCACCCCGTTTCCTTACAA